TGAACACTTTCAAACTCCTCACCTTCAATATGTCAACAAGGTAGTCATAGTCACTGCTACTTGTATCTAGATTGTTGACGAGGAAAGAATGCGAAACCGACTAGACCATTTTGCGGAGCGGACGAGGCACATGTGCTTTCGATAGATCTTTATTACAAAAGTGTTGAAGTGGCCTGTAAATGACAGTTCATGTGCAGTCAGTAGTCAGTCTGAATAAGGAGCAAAACATAATTTTTTATGGACTGTAAACCATCTTATCCATCAAGCTCAGTGGTATACTTCGGAAGCCTGAATATGTGTCGCGGCATTGCAATCTTTGCTCTGAGAATTAGAAACCACAGCTGGAGAAGCGCTCAATAATCATTCTTGGGCTGAAACTCTGTTACATGTTGCAGAATAAAGTGAATGATTTCATGCTAACTGGACTGAGAGTCGTTGCGATGAAATCTACATTAGACTCCACTTTTTTAGCCAGACGGATTAATTGAGCCTTAATATACACCAAATCAAATCTCTGGAACAACTTGATGCTTGAACCACAAGATGGTCCATCAATGTATCAAATACCTTAGCCACTATTAGTTCCAGGATCTGATTTCTTCATGGTAAGGTGATCAGATCCTTGCCAAGCTTTTCTTCCAAAAGTATGCAGGCACTGGCATGAACTCCAGTGTTGCTAGCTGTAGTGTCAAAGCACATGAACTGTTCCCTGAAGTTCCATTCCTGAATATGATTTAATTCTGTCGTCTCTGCCTGACTAGTCCCATTTAGCAACAACTTAATTGCTCCATCACCAGACACCATAACCACAAGGCGGTCAATGAGCACATTCAAAATTAAACCTTTCCATCCCAATGGACAGTTTGGACTAAATAATGCCTGAATCTCTTTAGCTACTATTTCACAGTACCTGTCTATGGCTCTTCTGATGGATTCTTTGTTAATTGCTGGGTCTGACAGACTATGTCAGCTGCAATGATGTATGACGTGTTCCTGTCATTGACTTTGGTTCTGTCTAATGCAGGTGCTAAACCTGGACTGGCAATATTGATTGGCTTCAGTTGAACAGGAGTTTGCTGCCCATTGGAGTCCTCATCAGCATCACTACTGGTTTCAATTTCACTTACATTGCTCCCACTGCTGCTGAACTTCATATTAGGTGTCCTTTGTTGCATCAGCTCATTCTCCTTTGCCTTGTGTGTTTCTTTCACTAAAAGCTATTTTCAATACCTTTGATCTTTCTGAGCCAGCACCAGGTCAACCCAACTCATGCTACCATGCCTCCCTTTCAATGTCAACAAGACTTTCTGAGCCAGCACCAGGTCAACCCAACTCATGCTACCATGCCTCCCTTTCAATGTCAACAAGACTTTCTGAGCCAACACCAGGTCAACCCAACTCATGCTACCACACCTCCCTTTCAATGTCAACAAGACTTTCTGAGCCAACACCAGGTCAACCCAACTCATGCTACCATGTCTCCCTTTCAATGTCAACAAGATCCTGCAAACTTTCAGTAAATTGATGTTCTTTTTCCTTTTGTGCGTCTGTTCTGCCAGATGCATTCTTCTTCATTCCAAGCCATGATGAATATAGGTCCTTTATTTTTGTGATGATGTGGCAGTCCTTACAAATAGCCATATGTGCCTTGTCCCAGAACTGAACAGCTTCATTAATAGCTGCTGTGGCACTGGCCGAAATATTATCCAAAATTAACACTGTGAAGATGAAAGAAACACTGCGACACTTGATTTGTAGGAAGTTGGCATCAAGTGATTGTTGCAAGAGTTCCTCTAACCATAGCCAGATCATTCTTGGGAAAATCACATCTCACTTGCTTTCCATCTCTCCTGATGATCCGTAATATAATTAACAATACTATTACAATATATGTAAATGTAATAAATGAAAGCAGCCAAAATAAATTGTAATTAAATAACATTTTATCATGATTAATGTACACAAACGATTTCATCCCATTTAGCTACTAGTAAATATTAACCTATCCCCATGAAACTTGACATCATTACTATGCATCACAAAATGATCATCTGGGAGCTGGAAATGTTGAACTTTTTGTTTTGTTTCGTTTCCAATACACTGAGTGGCACCCTACCATACATTCATGTCATACCATCAAGAAGGGCTACACTAAAATAGTACCTTTAAAATCTGTTTAACATATTTTTTTACTGTACTTATTTAAAATACATTTATTTTTTAGTGATGAAGTAACAATATTTTTTTAATGCAGTGAGGTTTATTTCTTTATTTTAAAAAATAATCTGTTTATAAAAATTTGTTGAGCTTTTCTCTTCAAGATATTGCAATTAATTTAGTTTATACACAATTTTCTCCTATTAAGGAGATGGAGCGGCAAGCACAGAAGAATTCGGACACTCAATAAAGTTCACAGTGCCTTACGACATTGCTGAGAATGAGGATCAAGTTTCTAGTGAAGATGAAGATGATGCTTCAAACAATGGAAGTAGAGATTTCGATCTTCGATATACTGCTGCAGCAGCAACTTCAAAGGACCACAAAACATTTACAGAAGCTAGTGGGGAGAGAAGATCTTTGGAGTTCAATTCTACTTGGATGAGAACTGTTATAGGAAAATTCTTTGAAGGCAATGAGACTGCAATCAGCCTAGGTCTGGATGAACTAACTTCAACAATCTATGATGTCCTCAACTCAGGTCGTAAAGATGAGGAGCTTCAGAATGAGGTTAGTTTTCAAGTGACATGAGCATGACATATTTATCACGTATAAAGTAATTGTAACATACCCTGGCCACTTTCTTTTTGGGCTTTTCCCCTCTTTTATTGCCATTAAACTTTTCAGGGGGTGGTAAGTATTTAGCCTACCTTGCCTATGCAAAAAGTCACAGAAGTTCTTATGATACTTTTACTTAGTTAGCTTGTAATGGTTAAAAATTTTTAATATTCTTATATAAATTAAAAATGTTTTTTGGGGTAAAATGTGATAAAATCATAATACAATTTATATTATTTCCACTGAAAAGCAGTAGGACACATTATTTATGTCATGTGTCAAATTATTTATCGGCTTTGTCAATTTTTTATATACGTATGCTATATTATCATTATGTGAAATGAAAACTCCTCAGAGGAAGATAATTTTTGAATTATTAATACGATTTCTCTTTGTAAACTTCTAGCTTTTTGACCTTCTTGGCTTTGACCGTTTTGAGTTAATACAGCAGCTTCTAGTCAACCGCAACAACATAATCAAAGCTCATATGGCAGAATCCACTCGAGCTATTCTACAACAGATGCCAAGTACGTCTCTGGTTCTTAATTTAAATTATATTATTATTCTAATGTTCTAGAGGCACCCTGGTTAGGTGAAGCAATGCCCTGATTAGGTGACAAGAATCTATTGTGACGACCTGATTAGGTGACTTGGTGACATTGTAACCGGGAACACGTAAAGAGCACAGTGAGACCCAAATACACTGTCACTCATCCACCGCATCCTGTGCTTTTTCCAGTTGACTTGCCCCTAAATAAAAATAGGCCAGGTTGAGAGAGTGAGCCTGATGTTATGTGCTCTTCTCCCTCACTTAAATGAAAACTAAACACATGTAAGGACTTTCACTGGTAGGTGTTGCTCACGGACAAATACAGAAACGGTCATCTTTGCTTGTGAAGGACGACAACAGTAACGGAGCCAAACAAAAAAAATCATATCACTCTTTCATCCTGCAATCAAATAAGCTTTACAAATATGAATGAAATAATCTTATCACAATTTATTTATTTGAATTTTTTTAAAAATAGTTTATTTTTGTTGTTATTAATGGTTTTCAAATACTCAAATTACTTTTATTTTCTATAGCTAAATGTCATGATTTTTTTAACATGTCAATAATTCTGATATTACACCAATGTGTTTAGAAAAGAAATCAGAGAATGAACGACCAACTTATGGATGTCAAGTTATGGTTCAGGTAATTCAATTTGTCAAATAAATTGTTGTCATTGAAAGGAAATAAAATTTCAGGTTGTTTTTTCTTTGGGTGTATGTCAGTCTCTGGTGAGGAACTGTTTTTCTTAACCATGTGCATTTAATATATCTTATTTCAAAATCTGGGTTTTCATGAATGTACCAAGGATTGCTAACTGCAGATCTATAAGTTCGTGGGATACATTTTAATCGTGTCACTTTTCAACAGAGGGCCGAGGAGAAATCTTTGGCTAAGCAGCTCAGGAAGGAAGAAAAACGTTTGAAGAAAGATGGGAAGTTGAGCTCAGAGGATCAAGAAATAGCTGGGGCCCTAGACATGACCCCTGAGGAACTGAGGGCTGCCAGGTATGTCATGTTTTTGCATCAAATATATGTCTCTTAGTAAATACGATAATTATATACTAAGATTTGGGAATATTTAAAAAAAATGGCTTTGTATTACAAGTGTTATGAAAGAATCATTTTCATTTATTACAATTCAGTTATTCTGCCCATTTTATTTTCAGGATGGCAGAATTGGGAGCTGCTAAGACAGCTCCACTTTTCTCTGGCCGGAGCTCAGGCTATGTTAAACCTGAAAAATATCCCTTTGTATTTGACAAACTTGCTGATGCCCAGCAATCCTCAGCTTACATTGCAGGAGCAAAGGTGTGTATGAGAGTAGGATTTTTCCATACTTATGTTTGCTTTGGTACGTAGTATCACAATATCTAAACGGAGAAGAGGCTCATTGTTTTTTGAGGAATAACTCTGACATAAGGGAGTCACACTAAATACAGCTCACACTATTCAAGCTCCACTTCTGAAATAAATAAGCTCAGTTATTCATAAGTTTTTTGTAAAAGTCAAGGCTTAGAACCTAGAGATTAAAAAATCCAGAAGCCCATAAAAATAAAGAAAAGGAAATTGAATCAACCGAATTAATTTTGTTTTAGATCATGATTCTATGATAAATTCTATCAGTCATTATTTGAAACAGTAAATACTGGGGAATGTCAAGAATAAGTTTGTCGCATCGGTAAAAGGTTTCCTGCTTTTAAGAAATTCAGATTTTAAAATATATTTCCCTGGAATTAATAAAAATCTGCCCATCTTCCTCTCCATGACATTCAATATGTTACCATGGCATTTCTTTTTCCTGCTACGTTAAAGCATTTTTGCTCTTTTCCATCCTTTATGCCAAAATTCAAGGCAGTTTTGATTGGATAGTGTCCACAGTGAGCCAGCGTATCCCACAGATTGTTGGCTGGAAAGGGATGTGGCTCACTAATGTGGACATTGCATTAAGTAGATGACTTCATATTCTTACTGTTGAGAATGTTGGCTTTATTTTTGTGTTGTCTATATCAGTGTATCCCACAGATTAGGGTGGTTTTTGGCTGGGAAGTGATGTGGCTCACTAATGTGGACATTGCATTAAGTAGATGACATCATATTCTTACTGTTGAGAATGTTGGCTTTATTTTTTGTGTGGTCTATAATTTATTGATTGGTTTCTTGAGTCAGTTTATCACGCCATTGTTAATTGCTAAAATTAAATTCCATTTCTATTTTAAGAACTCACAGCTCTCAAAAAAAGTTCCTTTGTTTAAAATTTATAAGTACTATTGATATTCATCTGTTTCCACATAGATTGTTTTGCCTGAGAATTTTGAACGTAAAGATGACAAGCTGTATGAAGAGATCAACATTCCTGCCAGTGGATCAGCACCTCCGGAAATTGGGAAGAACCGCATTAGAATTGACAGCCTTGATGATGTAAGTCATAAGAAGTTTTTTGTGGAACTTTGTCTGTTATGTGATGTCATTTGCTGAACTTTAATATGTGACAGGGGTTTATTTGCTGAACCTCTTAATATATGACAGTGGTTTATTTAGGCTGGCTAATCTGGTCATATTAAGTGTGTCTTGCTTTGAAAAAAAATTGTAAAGTAAATAATATTGCCAAGACATGTTGCTTTGTTTTGATTACTTATTGTTCAATTTAAAAAAAATTTTTGGGGTTCAAATTTGTAAATAGTTTTGTTCTCCTCTACAAATAATGCTATTCTCTTTAGATTGGAAAACTTGCTTTCAAGGGCACTGAGAGTCTAAATCGAATCCAGTCTGTTGTCTTCAATGCTGCCTACAACACCAATGAGAACCTTCTCATCTGTGCCCCAACTGGTGCTGGTAAAACAAATATTGCCATGCTCACAATATTACATGAAATTAAGCTGCACATTTCTCAAGGAGTTATAAAGAAAGATGAGTTCAAAGTTAGTGTTTAATTTATACATTTCTTAATGTTTGGTTCTATTGTTTTTTGTTATATTTATTATCAAAGATTTTAGATGATCCAAAAATGGTTAATATAAAAAATATTGAACATTAATAACAGCTTTAAATTTTTAAAAAAAATGGTCCCCCATCAATGGACATCCTTTACAAGTGTTCTGCTTTGTCATATGATTCAGATTGTTTATGTTGCACCAATGAAAGCTCTGGCAGCTGAGATGGTGCGTAACTTTGGTGGGAGATTGTTGCCCTTGGGGATCACTGTTAAAGAGCTGACGGGAGATATGTCACTTACTAAGCAGGAAATTCTCAACACTCAGGTATGAAACAACACTACACCAGAAATCTGAAATCTTACCTAAGACGTCCTGTTGAATATTTTCTTAAAAGCAAAATAATACAAATTAAAATATTTTTTTATATGCATAGTGATAGACTATAGAAAGGAAAAATTAATGAAACTTTTCAAAGTAATTTATTTATGAATTTATTTATTATAGCTCGCAAAACATTGGCGACAGCAATGTATGAACTTCCCATCTACTAAAGTTATTTGACAAAACATGAACTCAAGTAACGCACATTGAAGAATCACAATTTTCGCTGCACACTTACTTATTTCACGCCCATGAACTTTATTAAATATTTTGATGTCCCACCACTTTTAAATGAAATATGTATTACACTATATTTAAATTGAGACAATTTCATTTTCCGAAAAATGCACCAAATGCAGTTGTGATATTTAAAAAAAATCATTTAGTGTAGTTACCAGGATTTATATTTTCCAGAAACGGAAGCAGTCACACAACAAGCAAAATATATATAAGGGATTGTTATTATTGTATGGTAAATTTGTAATTAGATTGTTAGCAGATCACTTGACCCATGAAGAGATTTGAAAATTGTAAAATTTTATTTGAATGACTTAATAAAACTAAAAGTGAAAAATAGCAACATCCAAACATGTTTTTTGAGAGCAGATGTTGGTGACCACACCAGAAAAATGGGATGTCGTGACACGTAAGAGTACAGGCGATGTGGCCCTTGCCCAGCTGGTCAAGCTGCTGATTATTGATGAGGTCCACCTCTTGCACGATGACAGGGGGCCAGTCATTGAGACACTTGTTGCAAGAACAAAAAGACAAGTAAGTTCAAACAGTTTATCCACTATACCCGTGTTATTGCAGCTTTGGGTCATGCCACTTCATTTTGCATCTGTGCATTTGTCAAGATGTTTATTCCCC